AGCCTTCACTGTCTGCACTGATACACAGAGTTATTAATGCAGATGTTTAAAAAAAAAAACCCTTAAATCTCTGTGGAATAATAATTTACTCCCATGGATTGCAAGCTGTGTGTGCAAATGTTAAGGGTTTTCTGACTGCAAGGCATGCTCTGCCCTTGGACAGACTCTGTTATTTTCCCTCCAGAGTTAGACAAGAAAGTAAATACTTCTTGGAAGTAAATAATTTCTAGCTGAAGATTGGTGGATATTGTGGATATAGACTTTCAGCTACCATTAATGTCTAACCTGAGGTTGTAACTGGAAAATAGCAGCAAAATGGGCTTTTGCCTTGTGGCTATTTTTTAATTCAAAGCTTGCTGGAGTAATACTCCAGAAAAAAACTTCGCTGACCAGCCCTTGGCACTTATGTTAAAGCTTCTTGTGCAACCTCTGGCATAAATTTGTGCAGTCAGGGCTGTGGAGAGCCCTTGCACTCATGATTTTCAATGGGTGTTCAAGGCCAGGCTGGATGGGGCTCTGGGGGAAGGTCCAGGGGGCTGGAACAAGATGAATTTTAAGGTCCTTTCCAATCCAAACCATTCTTTGACTCCATAATTCTTCAATTTTACTGGGCATTGTGAGACTCTGAGGGTAGAAATCGCCTATTTTTGAAGAACTTGAAAATCTCCCCATTTTGTTTTTTTTTTTTTTGTCCTGTGTCTGAGGACAGGATGTTCTGCTGGCCATATGTAGGAGCTTGTGAATAGACTGCAAAAAATCCACTTTAATGAGCTTTCCAAATGGAAGCAAGGTGTGTCTCCTCAGCTGCCAAATTCCCCTGGCCCTGGGTGATATTCTGTGAGGCAGATCATGGGTGAGGAGTTAAATGAGGAGGAGGTGATGAGTTCAAGGAGAAGTTAAAGGTGCTCTGACCCTCCTTATGGACAAGATCCACTCCTGCCATGCTAAGGGCAGTAAAATTCCAGTCTCTTCATAAGAATTTTGATCACAGAGGTTTTTCTCCTTCAGAACCTGCATGGACAGGACTGATCCCAGGGATGTCCTGCAGAGTGTGGGGTTGGGATGGGCTAGTGTGGGATGTCCTTTTGGCAGAGACTCCATGACACAGTCATGAGGCTCTGTCAGGAGTCCTTGGGCATCATTAAAAATTGCAGTGCTGTGTGGAAAAACTGGATTCAATAACCTCCAATTGTTCAATACTTCTATTCCAGCTATTAATAAAACATAAAAATTGTATTTCCAACATCAGCAGCATTCTAGCAAAGCATCTGGAGAAAACCTCCAAAAGCCAAGCAACTAAGAGCCAAAAAAATCTTCCAGAAAGTCAAGAGGGAATGAGATGAAAACTTTTCCCTTGGGTTTGCTCCTTGGTAAATCAGGGGTTTGTTCAGAAACATCACATTCTGCACAATCAATACACAAATATTAATACTTAATATACTGGGAATCTTGTTTTCTAGTATCAAACTACCTCCACCAGTAAAAATTGTACATTCACATAAATGTAACACATTAACCTAAACCTGATATCTTGTTAAAAACTGCCAGGCCTTCATTGTCCCATGTAAAAAATAACATCCTGGAGCAAGAAGGTGATGGAGGCACTGACCAGAGGTACAAAGCTTTTAACAGCAATGAAAATCAAAGAAATTATACAATAGAAATGGGATCTTTACAGTGCATCCAGTGCAGCTGCTTAAGACATAAATTAATTTATTTGGGAGAGCATTAATAGAAATTATTTTACTTCTTGCTTTTATAGATGGATATAGACAAATCCTGAATAAAACTGGGGTTTTTTTACGTAAAAATACCATGAGAAGATCATGACAAACACAGTAATCCTACACCAACAGTGTCCAGAGTTCCTGAGAGGTGAAAGAAAGAACATAAAGCTTATATCTAAACCTATTGTGAAATATTTGAATATATCCCTTGTCATGGGGGTTTTATGAAAATGTAAATGAAATTCTGTTTCTCTTACATAGTTTGAAGAAGAGATCTTATATTCCTTCCAAAGTACCACGTTTCAACAAAATGACTACAAAACAAGGCTCCAAACACATGCTTGTGAAAAACAAGTCTTTTCTGCAGTGAAATTATGTATCTTGGGAAGCTCAAACGGAACGTGGTGCAAATGCACTGGCAGGAATCCCACAAAGAATTGAGCCTTTCACTAACTGAGGCTGTGGTTGTGGGGCTTTGGGTTGGTGCTGCTATAATTAATTCTTTCCTTATTTGCTTATGAGGCAAAATCATTTGGTAATGATCTGACAGCATTGTTGTGACGCTGCAGGAGCCCTGCCTTATGTAAGGAAATCAATAACTTCAAGTATTGCAAATGCTTTGGTAACTGCCCTTAGGAAGAGTTGGCTTCTGTTACTTCTCATTTTCCCGCAGGAAAGTAATGAGCTCCCCAGCTTGTACTCACAGTTCAGGCCTTTATTCCCAAATTCCCTGGGAGATAAGCTTGGAAATGGGAGGCCCAGCATTAAAATATCCAGGTCTCCATTTCCATAAAGGCTTAACTCGTTAGTTCACTCCAGAAGCAGAGTTAGGGCAAAATGTGGATTTACAAGAAAGAGGATTTGTTATTCTCAGCAAGGAGACTCTGCAGGGAATCACAGAATGGTTTGGGTGAAAAGGGACCTTAAGGATCATCAGGGACACCTTCCACTAGAGCCCCACCCAGGAATGCCCTCCCTGGGCATCACAGGAATAAATAAAAACCCCAGTTAACTCTCATACTTGACTAGGACTCACTTATGCGTTTGTCTCTTCCAGAATTCTTTGAAACAGAGAATTTATAAGCAAGAAGGAAGGCAGGCAGAGCAGGAAACAGGTCCTGGTGTGATTTGATAGATTGCTGATAGTTAAAGCACAACCCAGAGAGGCCAGGGATCTGGATTCCAAACCAATAACTCTCCATGTACCTATAGTTTACTGCCTATCAGCACCGAGGCAAGATCAAATAAATTTTGTTTGCTTAATGAAAAACGAACATCCTGACACAGTGAACAGCCCTAAAGTGACTAATCCATCTCTATCTCCCCCAGTGAATAGTATTAATTATGTTGTTTGCTTTTCTAGACTAATTTTTTTCTTAGTCTGAGGTAATGACTGCATATGTAACTGCTAGAATGAGATAGGTATAGGTGAGCTGAGCCAGTGATTTACAACCCATCCGAGCAAGAAATGTATCCTGGCTGTTGGTGCACTATCACTAACCCAACACTTCTTTCCCCCTCGCCTTTTCTGTTTATTTAAACTGCTCACCGGCTGTCTGAGGAGAAGAGGGCTCTGTCAGGAGGGGTTTTTGCAAAGAGCACAAACTCCACCTGTGCCATCGTTCCCCTCAGCAGTGGGACAGCTCCCTGAGCTAGGAGCGCAATTCTTTCCAAGTGCTATTTCTCCATGCCTTTCCTGCGGGTGAAGCAGCCGAGGGCAGGCATTTCTCACGATTTCTGCACGGGTGTTGTGGTCCTGCTGGGGGATGCAGTTACCTGTAACACCTTACAGAGAACCGCTGCAAAACAGCCCTAAAAAAACAGCCTCCAGCGAGCTGGTGGAAAAGATGTCATTTTTAAATCTTTGCTTCCAGCTCCTGCATTCCTTCAGCTTAGGAAAGTTTAGTGGCCCTGCGTGAGTCTTCCTCAGGCTCCTGGTGCCCAGCTGGAGCGGCTCGGGGAGGGATTCTAACAGCGGGGACAGCGATGGAGGCTTGTCCCGGTTTTCTCAGCGCAGAATTCCCGTTTTAAAGCCCCCGAGCTTTGCTGTTCTGCGCATCCCGCGCTCTCCCGGCCGCTCCGCCGCCGCTGTCCGCGGTGCTGGAGCGGGGCCGGACCGGTCCGGCAGCCGAAGGCAGAGCCCCGGGGCTGGCGGAGAGGTGGAGGAGCAGGGAGGGAAAGGGAGGCACCCTAAGCATCCTAAGCAGCATGAGGAGCGAGCCCCGAAGCAGCTTTCCGGAGAAGATGCTGCGGCCACGGCGATGCGGGAGTCCCCGGCTCCCCCAAAACTGCGGTCCCTTCCCCACCGCGCTCCCCCGGCCCCTCGCCGCCCGCTTTCACCACGAGAGGAAAGTTTTGTCCGTGGTAGCTTTCTCCCCACCTTTGGCACCGGACCTGGCCTGGAAGGGACGGCGAGGGCCGGGGGGAGTGGAAGAAGGGGGGAGTTATCCCTTATTTATTTATTTAGCTCTTTCCTCCCTCAGGTCGCCATGGTGATACCGAGCTCGCTCTCCCTCCGAACGAGACGGGCACCCCTCCGTGAACACCCCCGTCCCCTCCGCCACCCGTGTCCCCCGGGGGAGGCTGTCCCCTCTCTGACCGCCCTCATCCCGGCCTCGGGCTCCTCTCCCCGGCTCCCCTCAGCCCCGCCGCGGCCGCCCGCAGCCAGCCCAGCTCCGCGCAGCAGCGCATCCTCCCCGCGCTGCCCTCCCGGCGGAGAAGTGAGACGGGAGCAGCCAAAACACCATCGTCCCCCCTCTCCTTGCCTCCTCCCCGCTCTCAAGTTCTTCCCGGCTCGGGCACCACCGCTGGAGCACCGCTGGGGAGGGGGCGGCCGTGCGGGACGCGGTGCCCGGTGCCGAGCCCCGGAGCCGGGGGGATGCCGGCGCAGCCCCGGCCCCGTGGCGGCGGCGGTGGCGGCGCTTTTGCCCGAGGGCGTGGGGACGGGGATCCCACGCGGGATGCTCCTGCGACGGCAGCTGGCAGCGGGGACCTCGGGGCCGCCCCGCCGTGCCCACCGCTGCCCCGGTTCCGCCGCCGCTTCGCCCCTCGCCCAGCGGGAAGCGGCCGCGGCCGCCCGCCCCGGGTTACATAAGTAACAGCCCCGAATCCCCCGGCGCGGCCGCCGTGGGGATCGAGGAAAGGCGTTTTTGGGGGCAACGGGGGAGATGGAGAAACGCGGCGGCAACGAGCCGTAAAGGCACGAGCAGCAAACCCGCGACCCCGACCCCATCACCCGCGCGGTGTCCCCTCGGGGAGCGCAGCCCCGCTTACCTGGCGGCTGCTGTCACTCCATGCCGGCTCCCCGCGGGACGGGACGGGGCAGGGCGGCTGTGCCCGGCGCTGCGCCGGCGGCGGGGCTCCGGCTGCGGCTCGGTGCGCGCGTCTGAGCGCCGCTCGCTGTCACACGGCCCCGAGGATGCTGTCGGGCGTCTCCATTCCCCACGCCCGCTCGCCCACCTCCCGCCAGCCGCGCACCCCCGGGGGGGCAGCGGCAGCCGCCGGCCGCGGAGCTCCGCCGGAGCTGGGGGGGGGGCCGAGCGGGCGGCTCCGGGGGAGGCGCGGCCCCGCGGAGCGGCCGCGGGCGGGCGCGGGGGCTGCGCTGGCCCGGCGGGCGCGGAGCGGAGCGCGGAGCGCGGCGCGGGCGGCGGCAGCGCCCTCTGCGGGCGGCGCGGGGCGGCGGGGGCGGCGCGCTCCTTCCGCGGGGGCGGCCCCGCTCCGCCCGCGCCGCCCCCGCTGCAAGGGAGCTCCGAGCTCCGCGGGTTTGAAGGGAGCGCCGCGCTCCGCGGGTTTGAAGGGAGCTCCGCGGGTTTGAGGGGAGCTCCGAGCTCCGCGTATTTGACGGGAGCTCCGAGCTCCGCGGGTTTGAAGGGAGCTCCGAGCTCCGCGGGTTTGAGGGGAGCTCCACGCTCCGCGGGTTTGAAGGGAGCTCCGCGCTCCGCGGGTTTGAAGGGAGCTCCGAGCTCCGCGGGTTTGAGGGGAGCTCCAAGCTCCGCGGGTTTGAAGGGAGCTCCGCGCTCCGCGGGTTTGAGGGGAGCTCCGCTGGTTCGGGTGGGAGCTCCGAGCTCCGCGGGTTCGGGTGGGGAGCGTGGGGACCCCGCGCTGTCCCTCCCGCCGGGATGCGGCTGCCCCAGGAACGTCCCGCCTACGCCGGCGGCGCCCTCCCCGCGCAGGAATCGCGGAGCCGTGGGATGGGTTGGGTTGGAAGGGATCTTAAATATCGCCAAGTGCCATCCCCCCGGCCGTGGGCAGGGACGCGTTCCATAGCCCCGTTTGCTCAGAGCGCCATTCAGCCTGGCTTTGGGCACTGCCAGGGATCCAGCGGCTGCTCTGGGCACCTGTGCCAGGGCCTCACTGCCCCCAAAGCAAAGGAGAGAACCAGAGGTGCATCCAGGGAACAGCAGGGTTTGTGTCCCGCAGCTCTCTGCTGCATAACTAGGGCTGATCTCACACCGTGAACAAATCTCCATCTCTTTTGGGGCACTTCCAAGCACCTTTACCCCCTCCTCACTGATGGAGCCTTTGGCATTGCTTTCCCTCTCTCAGGCTTGGCTGAAATTGGCCAACAGATCCCACATTCCTGGTTGGAACGGCTGCCGGGCAAACAGGCAGGTGCACACCTCCAGACATCAACAGATCCTTTACTCCAACCCTCTTTGCTGAGAAAATCTGGCTGGAAAGTAGAGCCCAGAAGTCCTTTCCAGACATCATCATCATCATCATCATCATCATCGTCATCATCATCATCATCATCATCATCATCATCCTTTCCAGACCGCTCCACCTGCTGAAAAGGTGAAATGCTTCACCTTTTGTGTCTGCACTGTGATAAATTAACCATATTCCAAACTTTTGCCCCTAGTCATAGGGAAGCAGAATGGAATTGTGGATTTTCAGGTAAAGTAAATGATAACAGTTTGCACTTTCACAAGTCCTATCAGTTTTTCTGTCATTTTCTGTCTTAGTATAGCAGCAAGCCCAGCTCCACACCCCTGTGCTCTCTGACCATGGATCATCAATGATCTAATTTTTTTCTCCTGAGAAAAAAGTAATACTTTAAACCAGCACCACTTTAGCTTGTAAAATCTCTTTATTTGCATTTCCTTTCTCACCTCACCCTTTCTTCACACCTTCCTACATTTCCTAATGTACTTTCTGGGAATAATTTCTTTTTTCTCTCTGAAATCTCATTTGAGTCCATGCAATTGTGTGGTGGATGCATTATAATATCATGTTAGGTTAAAAATGGCTGCATTCTTGTTCTTTCAGCTTTTCCCATAAAAGGGAACCTGGCTGAAAAGAGCAGCATGAGGCCTCTTTTTCCTGGGAGATTTGCACAACTCTAAATTTCTTCCTGCAAACTACTGTTCTTTAAATCTCTTCTCTTGTGCTAGGACCAAATCTCCTGGAACAGGAGCTGTTCTCCAAGCTAAAGTTGCTTTTCTAGAGCCTCCTCTACTTGTTACTCATTTTTCCTGCTTTCATTTGCCAACAGAGAAGGAACACTGGGCACATTCAAAATGGAGAAAGGGTTTATGTGAAATGAGGATATGTAGAATGTTATCCTTTCTGCCTTCACCATCCTGCCACAATGTGATGGGTTATAGGCTCTTTTAACTCTATTAATTGTTAAATATTTCAGGAGAAGCAGCAAATGAGTGGTTAGGTTGAGCTTGGAGCCATAACAGCATCATTTAATTACACAAACCCTCGTGCTTTCCAAATGGCACTTTTTCTCTTGGGGCACAAAACCTGAAATGGCTCTGGAACAGGTGCACAAATAATTATTTTATACTTAGCCTGCTGTCCCCCTTCGATCTATTTGTCTCAGTTGCAGCTTACTCAGTGTCAGCTCCACGAATCTCCCTGCAGAGCCTCTCAGGGTGAATTAATGCTCATGCTAAGACACACTGAAAGGATCCCTGCTGCTTTCTGAAGGTCCCAGGCAAATGCCTGACTGGTGAGCTGCTGAGATTTCCTTTCCCTTGCCATTCCAGTCGAAGGTCAAGGCAGAACCTGAGCTGGCAGTGCCTAAATCTGCTGGTTCAGGGCGATTCCAGTTAATGGGCTTTGACTCCGTTCCCTCCCAGCTCCCTTTGGGCACACAGTCCCAGAAACAACTTGAATTCCCCAGACTTGTGCCGTGCCTGAGGGAAGAGTTTATGTCAGGAAGCAAAGTTTGTATTGATGCCTCAGGTTTGAGCTTTTAGATATTTCAGATTCTGTGCTGCTTTAGTGTGCGGGTCTGAGCTTCATATCAGAGGATGGTGAGCTCTGTGCACAGAGCAGGGAGACAAAACAATTCCTGCTCCAGCTGGGCACCAAGGACAAATGATCCAAATCTCAGCCCAGGAGCACAAACAGCGTGGGCTGGAGAGAGAAAAACAAGCAGGGTGGGACTGCCTGGGCTAAAGCTGGAATGGGACAATGAACTCCAAGGTGCCAATGGAGCAGAACTGATCCCAGGGAGAGCCCCCGGGAGCGCTCGTGCATTTTGGGGCCATTTTGGTTCATTTGGGTGCAGCCCTGGCTGGGCTCTGGTGCTGCCCAAGGTGGATCCATGGAGGAGATCCTTTAATAAATCCCTGCTTTAGTCTGTAGCTCTACCCAGCCTCTGCTCCAGCTCAGCCTTCACAAGGCATCAGTATCAGCTTGAGGATTTTGGAATTGGTTTTGGAGGGTAAAACAATGGGAAAAGCAGAGGAGTGGCTTGATGGGAGGGGATGGGCACATCTACTTAAAATGCTTAACTTTGGGTTTTAAATTAGGAGGCTGTTCTACTCAGGCCATTGAGGAGAGGATCCCGAAAAGGTCAGTGTACCTTAAAGAAACTTCAGGTCTGATGTGCCCTCAAGAGGGTTCTGCTCTCCCTCACCTCCTGTTCATTCCCTGGAGGTTGTGCAGAGAGATTTTATGGAGACAAACTGCCTGAACCAGGCTCTGGCACATCCTCATCCCCCTCCACTTTTCATTTTGCCAAAACAACAGAGCATTTATACAGAGAAATCTCTCACCACCACATCTCTAGGAGGCATTTTTGGGGATATTTGCCACTGGTATTTCAGTGAACCCGCAGCTCCCAGGACAAAATAGAAGTGCAGATAGTATTCCCATGACCTTATCCTGCAGTTTGTACAGATTCATGTTGGTGTGATTTAATTCAGGATCACTGAGGCTGGAAAAGAGCTCCAAAGTCATCAAATCCAAGTTGTGCCCCATCCCCACCTTGTCCCCAGCCCAGAGCACTGAGTGCCACCTCCAGGCCTTCCCTGGACTCTTCCAGGGATGGGGACTCCAAACCTCCCTGGGAAAATGAATCCAACACAGAAAAAAACCGTTTGGACTAATGAAATTGGGCCAGAGGCATTGGTTCTTCACTTCCAGTTCTGAAATGCTGACTTTTCTTGGTGTACATTCTTCCTTACCTCTAAAAGGGATAAGTAGTTAAAAAGTAGTTAAAATTTGGAGTTACTACTACAACTAGTAAATAGTAGTTGAAAAGTAGTGAAATCCAAAATGTGTCTGCAGGAGAATTTTGGCCACAGAATAGTGTTTGATACATAAACTCTAAGTTTTAATTATTTTAAATAGTCTGAGTTTTTATCCTGTCTCAAAGGATCCCTGTTTATCCGCAAGCCAAGAATTTTTCCAACCTTCTCAGAATTACAGCATTTACCTGGAGATACCAAAATAACTCACGAGCACATAAAAATTCATATGTTTTTATGATTAAAATGTGCACTTTGACAGTCCTGGGGCTGCCTGATCCTGACCTGTGGCTCTTTAGGTGCCACCATAAACCAAAACCTCATGAAAATTCAAAGCTGGACCCGCCCTTGGAGGTCTTTTCCAACCTAAAGGATTCTGTGATTCTGTGATCAGGCCCGGGGGTGTTTTGATCTGCAAAGGGAACAAATCATCTGGCAGCTTGGGAGAAGCCTTGCCTAGAGCCTCCTTTGCTCCTCCTCTTGTTATTACACTTTCCCTGCCTGGCCTAAAAAGTGTAAGTCTAGATATTGCCTCAGCCCATATGGCAACACTGAAAGCTTTTTATTTATTTATTTATTTATTTATTTATTTATTTATTTATTTATTTATATTTCTTGCACAGCAGCAAGGGAAGATGTGGTTGGAAATGTCTGCTTAAAGATCAGCCCAAACAGTTTTGGTTCACACAAGCTGATAATATTGTCAGAGGGTCAACATTTGCTAATCTGAGGGGAATTTTAAATCCTTGGGAGGGTTTTTGGTGCGCTGGAGCTGGGGAAATTTTGCAGAGCAAGCCATTAGGAGCTGAAGGGAAGATAAGGAGAGACCAGTGGGTGGAAGCTGTCTGGTTTTGTTTTCTGGCAGGAAGAATACCAGAGGGAATTCTCTTTCCCAGCCTACCACCCCCATTTTTTTCCCCCCTTATTTGCACATCAAGGCCGGATTTTTTCGGTGTCTAACATTGCCATGGTGCAATCTGGCAAACCTGGTGCAGATGTTCTGAAAAGCTGCCTGATATTTAAGGTTGCTTTCCTCTGCAAAAGCTCCTCTTTCACTTGCTAACCTTCCCATTTCTGGATGTCAGGC